ACGACTCCTCCCGCCTCCTCCCCCCCCCCCCCCCTCCCCTCCTCTCTCTCTTTCTCTCTCTCTCACTCTCACTTTGACATTTTCGTCTTTCTCCTCCTCCCCCTCTTCAGCAAATCAGCCAAGGATATGCAGATGTACGGTCTTCTACAATTTGCCCTAATACAATCTTGCTCCAAATCTGGTTGCCTTAACCCTATCTCAAATAAACCCCAGGCCTGGTTGTGATTGAGTTAGAAAACCCAAAACTCGCACAACAATGGCTATTACACTACATCAATGAAAAAGTCTCAAAGTGGGTATGAACAGATTTCTTTCTGTTCTTGGGAGAAAATGAGCTGCTGGTTCAAACTGATGCAGCAGCCACTCACCCAAAACCGCAATATGATGAGGGAAGCATGGAGTAGAAAAATCTCCCCCTTTTATCTCCCTAAATCAAAGCATATTGAGCTCTATGATTTCTCTCTATTTTAACTGGGTTTCTCTTTGTTTTCTCTCTCTTCCTGAAAAAAAACAACTTTGAGAGGAGAGAGACAGAGAAAGGAGAAAGAAACTGAGGAGAAAGACCAGCCTAGAGAGTTAACAGTGTGATTTGGTTGGAAAAACAGGGGAACACTGAAGAGGACAAAGCTTCATGGGCCACTGTCACCTAACTGAATATGTCAGAGGGGTCTTGTGACAAGCACAAAAGCAGTTTGGAACCTCCTGATCCGGGCGAATGAGATCCCTGTTACATTGATGATCTTCTTGTGCAAGAGGAGGTTCTCATTCTAAGGTATTTGAGCTTTGCACTATTCTAGGATAAATGGCTACTGATTCAAACTGTTCTTCCTCTCAATATTCTCTCCCCTCAATCTGCCATAGGCATGTGCCCCCAGTGAGAGAATCCTGTTAGAAATGACCCCAATTGTCAACCCACTCGTCTTCTCTTTCTCACTCTTCTTTTCCCTCACATCATCTTTTTCTTCTGGTTTTTTCATATCATGGAGGAATTGGGGTTTGAAGGAATAATGGTTAATGGCAGTAGAGATAGTCAATGGCAGCGAGTTGTTAAAAGGTAGCCAAACTACCCGAAGCCACAAAATGATTTAAATGTTGTTAAATATAGTTTGTGAAAATCTAACAGAAGGTCATCTGCTATTTGTAAAAAATGCAGATTCAGTTTCATTTGCAGCCCTTCATCTAAACTTCCATTCGCAGCGAAACAAGGGGCAGTTCTTAGTTGCTTTAGGGTTAAAGATATATTGGATCAAAAGGCTTGTGAAGATACAATTCTGAAATCTTATGGGAGAATACATATATGAGAGAGAGAGAGAGAGATAGAGAGAGACTTACATGCAGTTTGGAAGTGGTTATCTGTCTTTGTCTTTTGAAAACCCATGAGGTAATTTACTTAAAACATTTGCATCAACTCTGCTGTACTGTTTAGAGAGTTGACTGTGAACTATTCCAGCACACCTGTCCACACGCTCCTCATATTTGTTATACAAGGCAGTAAGGGTGATTGACATGATGATTCCTGCACGAATGCGAAGTAATAAAATTGCATAAAAATCATCTGTTCTACAATTACAATATATGTATGACAGGTCATTGTTACAACTATATATATTTAATGACTAGAGATCAGGAAAAACCAAAAAAATATTAATCCAAATAAGATGCCAAGGAATGAGTAGAAAGGAGATGAAAATTGACACAGCACACGTACGAAAATGATTAAGAAAATAAAAGAAAAGAAAAGTTGCTTAATCCAAAAAGCACTGGAATGAAGGTCATGAGACATTTTGAAAGAATGAAGGAAACTATAGAAGTGAAAGAAGGACTTCCAGACCCAGATATATACAATAAAACAAAACATGAATACGAAAGAAAATCAAAGCAAAGGGTAAAGAAGAGGCCCCCATCGCAACTTCCATATGTGCAAGTGGAGAACTCGAAAATACAATCATATGTGCTAAATTTAGTGTTACAAGAAAGCATATAGCACTCAACATGGAAATTCTTAATCATAGTCAATTTCCAAGAAGGTTCCAACTCTGAAGTCTGAACTCTCAAAGGAAATGCCAATGAAAAAAATATCACAGCATTTAATACCGATTCTGTACATCTCAAAGATCTAAGCCCCACTTCAGGTTTGATGTATTTTCTGGTAGCAACCATCAGTGATAATGGACACGATTGCAAAGGTTTCAGATTGCACCCATTTGTAACAACTTTACAATGTAATAATATTGGTGAAGATGAAAACTATAAAAAACAATAGCCAGAACATGGGGAAAAATGCACTTACCAACATACATAAGAGTAAAGAACGACAAGAAACCACCAATTATAGATACAAGCCATAGGCAGACCACGATCTGCCAGACCAGTAATCAGAGCAAGCATTAGGGTTCAGACCTTTCGTAGATATTGCAATATAAGCATGACAATAATTGCAACAGTATACAGGCTTTTCATTACCTTAAAAAAGAGTTTGAAATCCCTGCCGAGAATGATATCATGAGCCATGAGTAGCATATAGTTAAGTTTGACACGGAAAGAAGCAGCAGAATTGTTTACCATTTCCTCTGACAAGACCAACTCTGGCAATGGCTGAAGTTGTCTGCCCATAAACAATGAAGTTCCAGAAACCAATACATGAAAATCAGTTCATAAAGAATGGATAACACAAACCATATTGCCAATAAAACAGGGCAAGAAAGTTTCAGGGTCTTACTTGTTCCATAAAACAGCACAATTGGCCCTAACAAACAGGATTACAATCAAGAGAAGCAATACATCTGAAGAAATTGATAGGAAAGATACTCCTGAATGCTCAAATAGTAGCCATGCAATTGTAGCACCAACAATAATGGCAAGTGTTACACGCCTCTGCTTCCACAGGATGACGTCCGCCGCTAAAGAAAAACCCAATTATGAAAACAGTTAATAGATCAATGAAGATGCATATAGATCAAATCCAATTGTTTAGCAGTTGCTGTCATTGCATTTTCTTGTTTTTGAAACTGTTAACTGTTCCATATTAAAGAAGAAGGTGGTACAAGGGGGGGACTAGAAACCACCCACAAGATGGGAGTTCAAGCCCAAAAAATAGCCTATCCACAGAATGGTGGCCCTATACATGAGTCCATTCTGTTATAATTACATGAACATGTCTTTGGTCACCACTCACATCACACAAGATCATTGCTATGGATCCCATTGACTTGGACATTGCCATTTTTCTTTTTAACACAAGTTTCACTTTATATTAATATAGTAAAAGGGTATCGATAATCATTTTTATTCTTTTGAGAAAGTTTGACTTCGTATTAATATAGTAAAAGGCATAGTTACTGGAAGCGCTCCCGTTCTGGAATCCAGCTCCGGCGTTCCATGACTGGGATCTCGTCTGGAACCAATTTATTTGTTTCAAGATCTTGCTCCCATTTATAAGGTACTCGATCCCATGAACAAAGGATCTTGATCCCACCATCGCACGGTGCACTTTCCTAAAGATAGTAGATCCCATCCCCGGATAAATAAGATCCTCGATCCCCAAATTTTAGGAACATGATCCCTGTGTTCACGAAACCCCATCATTTATTTCAAATATCATAATTCTTTTGTAATTTTGAACACAACTATTTTACCAATTTATAACTTTCTAAAAGAATCTTCTTAAATAAATCTAACTTTTATAATAAAACAATTATATTTTAAGCAAAATTTTCATGCAGTATTTCTGATGCAAATAAAAATTGGGGTAAACAAAATTTTATTTTATTTTTTAATGGATTAAGTTTTGTTTCAGTGAATAGGGTAGTGCATGAGTTGTTTAGTATATAGGGTAGTGCGTGAGTTGTTCTGGGGATATGATTGGTTTTAATATTAGGCAAAGGGATTTAGATCTCGTATTTTCATGGGCTTAGGAGATTTAGTTAGAGATTTATGAGATATTTATAGGGCATCACATTGGGTGAAGAAGAGATTTGTTTAAGAATTGAAAGATTTAAGGGATTTAGATATGGGAAAAATCAAAAGTGGATAGTTAGATATGGGAAAGATCAAATGTGGGTAGAGATTGAGAAAATCGTAGGAAAGAGAGAGAGAAGAGGGAGAGAGAAGATAGCAAGAGATTTACGTGGAGAATAGAGAGAGAGAGATAGATCTTATATTTTGTGGGTTTATTTATTTATTTATTTTTCTTTTAAGTGTATCTAAAGGGAAGAAGTCCCTCATTGTAAACATAAGAGAATTCGATTTGGTTAAAGAATTTGGATTTTGTGAAAAGATCTTTTAAGGTGGATTCCCTTGCAGACCTTGAGAGGGTACATTCTCTTGCCTTTTATTATTATTATAATTATTTTTCCCTGCATCAATTTCCAACCCAAAATGATGGTAATATATTTCCCAAATTTCTTCCAGTCGTAGCGTCAAACAATAACAATATATTCCTAGGTTGCATCAGACGCTACCCAAACAACAATATTCCATTTTCAGGTAATATATTACGCCAGTAATGTATTAAGTTAGTAATTTATTTCACAAACAATATATTTCAAGATACTCAAACGGCCAACGTGATGCCCATATGCGTATCATGTATGAAATTTTGAACAATAACCATTTCAAAAATATAATTGTATAAAGTATTGAAAGAATTTACTTCATACAATATCAATGGAATTTAATTAATTCATGGACATATAGGGTTTGTTGTGCATGGACATAGCCCAATGGGCCATTGCTACATAGGACAATGAGTTCTAGAATAAACCAGAACGAGATCCCGTTTATATTGGAACGGGCTGCAATGCTTAGTGGGAACATGAATCCATGTGTAATGAGGTTGGGTTCTCGCTACAAATGGAGTTCTGTGATGGATGCGTAGACCAATCATGCAGGGAACGCGATCCATCCTTGAATGGAGTTCGATCTTTTCCTAATGGAAATGCCATCAACTTCAAATGGGATCTAGTTCCTATCCCGGATGGGAGAACATGATCCCATTGTATATGGACTGCGTCCCCATTAAGGATCTAGATCCCGTTGTAATGTGCTATGCCTTCATATGAGATCTTGTTCCGCTACTTTTACTCTCACCAGAACTCGCACCCCGAGAGCCGAGCTTTGGGCAGCCATTGATCCGATGCTCCCGCTCCGACCCTAGAGCCGTTCCCGCTTCAGCTGTTGACAACTATGGTAAAAGGATGTGCATAATTACATGCAGCAGTGGCTGAAAAAAATGGAAAAGAATGAAGAAAAGATTTGTACACCAAATGTCACAAAAGGTTGGATTCGGGGCTGACCCCTGAGCACTACAAAATTGCCAACTACCAAACCGTCCTAAGCTAATGTATCCGCTGAGTTGTTGCCAGAGACCAAACATGTTTGAAGAAAACATGTAGGGTACTGCAAAGCTCAAATATTTGATCAAACAGATGTTCAAGTTGCCATAGGCAGGAAATCTTTTCAGGAACCACTTTGGTGAGAAATCTTGACCTACTCAGGTCCGGCTAGAGTTGCAGGTTCCACTCTTGCTAAAGCCCTATCCCTGTTAATTGGGTTCAAAGTGTTCAATGTAAGAATGGGACAAGCACCCTCATAGGAGGAGATTCTTAAAAATTATAAATTGACCAACAAGACTAACCCCTTGTCTCTGGAGATTGGACCATGTCTTTTTACCAGATTTTAGATATGCAACTCCTTACATGTCACCTTCAAGCACTCATGGAGAGAATCCAATTCCCATGACAACTCCTTTGGCAAAGAGGAGCTTAACAAAACCTAACTTTTCATTCATAGAACGGCCTCCCAAGGGGCAATTATGCTAACAATTTTGTAAAAACCATCACTCTCATAGACTCACTAACAGTTTGGTGCATCATTGCCCATTTATTACTACAAACAACTTCCCAAAAAAAAAACTTCTGTGATGTGCAGCCTAGTTAAGCCTAAGCAGCTGAGTAATTGAGCTATGAAACCTAAGTGGAGCTAGGCCAAATCCCGTCCCAACAGAAGCGGGAGGCTAGACCACTTTATAATTGACAGGATATGCCGGTCTTAACTCAAGTAGAATATGAGAAATTATCAAAATGATAGTCATGGCTCAAATAGAAAGCTCATTTCTCAAATAGAGAGAAAAAAACACCACTCCTGAGAAACATTTGACCATGCAGAAATCAATTCAAACAATATACAAAACCACCATCATAATCACACAAAATTAATAATCTGTCAAAATATCTAACACCCAAATCACTCAATCCTTTCTTGCATTCTCCACAACTATAAATCCTCCACATTTGGTTTTTCTATTGGGGAGTAGAACTCCTCTACATCTTTCTCCTTTTCTTCTTTAGAAAAATAATAACAGTAGGCACAACTCCTCAACATAAACAGTCATGCTAAGGGAGTATGAGAGCTAATTTCCATTAGGAATAGCTAATGGACCCTACCAATATCTTGCAACAGTGGTCTAAAGTAGTCATATGACCTTTTGTTAGACCTTCAAATGGAATCAAGAAACTCCTATAGGAGATTAAAACTTCACAAAGACAAAAACAATCCCCCCCCCTATTATGTGACAAATGGAATAAACATACTTCCTCAGAAAAAATAAAAAAAAACAAAACTCACAAGTACAAAATTAATGGAATAAACGATTTAGTAAATAAAAGGCAAAACCAATAATTACCTTTTCCTCCTCCCATTACATGGCGAATGGATCTCTGTCGATCAAACAATTTATAACCCTTTGATAATGGAATACAATCTGAACTACCAGAAGAAGATTGCTCAGGCAATTTATCCTTTCGCGCATCAGCATTAGCATCAATTTTAGAGACTTCTTGCAAGATATCCATTCTCCTTCTGCCACACGCAATAAAAAAAAACCAGAAAAATGAAATTTAACTTTAGAGATTATAATATTGTAATTAACAGAAAAAATGTATCCAAACTGCCCAAATGGGATCTTACTGCACTGTCCCTGAAGCCCCATATCCCAACCATAATTTCTTGAATAAACCATTAAATCAAATAAGACAAGCACCACAGTGTCAACTTCAAAGTGATGAGAAAAACTCATACATTAGTCTTCAAAAGCTCAGATTACAAACAATATATTTATTCGCAACACTGACTAGAATGCCACAGACTCATATTGGGTCATACCAGTCATAGTTCAGTTAACCATCACCTAAGCATGGCATTCCACTCCCAAAGGTAACCCCAAAGTCCAATACTCAAGCCACACGCCAGTCTCCAGTAAGATGTAGAGCAGAAAATTTTGAAAACCTAGAAAATTAACGATCCGACTTTTCTATCCTTGAACCAAAATCTAAAACTAATTTTTTCAAGGTTTTCATTACAAGACAAAATGAGAGCTCCCAGTCATCAGTACCCTTTGATTTCAGGAATTCAAGGCTCCAAATTTCCATAAAAATAAAATTCATAATCAGAAACCAAATTGTAGATAATAATTCCCTTCAATTAAGCAGAATTGGAAAAACATAGCAAATATTCAAAACTCCTCTATCAGGACCATGCCAATCTTTTTCTTTGAAGGGGGAAAAGGTGCAAGTGCAAATCAAAGTACTGAACAAGCTTTAATTAGAAACAAAAACCCACAGAAGCGTAAACAAGAAACAGAAAGCACGATTAACTCCAAACACAAACTAGAACCTTGGATAAACGCCTGATAGACAAACTAAAACCAAGATTACAAGAGAAGTTTACTGTTCAAAGGGAAGCAGTGGCGTCAAATTTTCAGGACAAGAAAGAAGAGAGAGAGATAACCGATTGTGTCCAGAGAGATGGCCTGATTGCGTAGAAGAGGTCGATAGGAGACAGGGAAGACCTGACGATCGCGCGAAGAGGGAGAGAGGACCCGATGGTATTGCAGAGGGGGAGAGAGATGACTCTGGTGTGTCTCAGTAAGAGAGAGGGCGGGGGAATCCGACTGCATCCTTGGGAGAGCCTGATAACGTGACCAAGAAAAATGGAGTGGGGATTCTATGCTCTTGCAGGTGCATACTGTACAATTGCTTCCTCAGGTATAAGATTAACTAGGAAATATATTTTTTATGAAATGACCTTGTGAGACTCTCTTACACCTATGTGTAGAACCTTTAAAAGATCACCATTAAATTTGGTATAGATCTCTAAAAAAGGCAAGTCCGACATGTGATCATTTTTTAAAAGATTTGTATCAAATTTAATGGTGATCCTTTAAAGTCTTGCACACATAGATATAGAAAGGTCACATAGGATCATTACTATTATCATAAAATGTTAAAGGGTTATATTAGAGTGTTCATATTATAAAGTATTTTATAATTTTACTCAATAAATTTTAAACACTTATATACCCTTGTTTTGTATATAGAGTAATTTTTTTAACAAGGGTATTTTTTGTTATTAGGAGGGTGCAATGTCTTCCACATAAGGTGTGACATCACATAGAACACTAAATGCCACTAGTGTGCTCCATGTGGGGTGGTGTCACACCTCAAGTGGATAACATCGCACTCCTCCAAACGACAAAAAAAACCTTTATCAAAAAAATACGTCATATACAAAACAATGATAAATGAGTGTTCAATATTTATTGAGTATAATTATAAAATGCTCTATAGTGTAGGCACTTCAACAAAACCTATTTTTAAAACTACCTAAAACCCACTAGGTTATTATGTTCAAAATAAAATGTTGAGTTTGGATGTGGTTTGTATAAAGGTTGAGAACCTAAACAATTTAAATTAGGTGTAGCTTTAAATGGTGTTGAAAGATGATTTTCTGTAGTAAAAATCTTTCTTATAGGCTAAAATTTTATTTTTCATTGGTAATTATAAAATTTGAAGCTTTAAAAATAGTGAAGATCGAGAAGATCTATAAATACTTGAAAATATTGAAAATTGACAATCCAGATAATATATTACAAGATACAATATTTTCCATACACTATTTTTTATACTTGAAATCTATTTTTGTTCATATTTATATATCTGGTGGTCAATATAAGGTCTTTTTTAACATTGTAACAGTATCTTCTAGTGAATTTTTGAGGTGGACCTGAATTTGATTATTAAGAGCCTCAACCTTACATAAACTTTTTCCTTTTTTTAATAATTACAACAGGGTCTTATCTCAAGGTCGTAAAAGTTCCTCCAAAATTGAGTTCCACCTAAGGGAGCAAATAGACAGTATGCTGTCTCGGAAAATTAGCCCCAACGGAACGATGGGCCGGAACACCCTTGCACTTCTCGAACCAGGTTTCGAAATTTCGGTTTTCGAAACCAAAATTTTGGGAATAATTTTTGCACACCTAGCGCTAAATTACATGCAGCCACATTTGTTAATGGAAAAAGTTTATATAAGTTTGCAACCTTAAAGTGTAAAACTAAAGATGCACCTCAGATATCCATCGAAAAGGTTGTTATAGTGTTGAAAAATCCTCTAATTGATCACCTTGACATTGATAAGTATGAATATAAAAAAAAAAAAGAAAATACCTTCATAGATCCTATTTTCAGAACAGTTTTCAATGTCCTCTTAACTTTGAAAACTATCTTGCAATATTAAAGTTATCAAAAACGTTTATTGCAACCCCCTGTTGTACTATTTTGCTATCATAAATAAAGTGCTAAATTCCAAATGCACCCACCTTCTCTCTCTCTCATTTTACCCACTATCTCAATTCTCACACGCCTCCTTGCCATGAGGTATCTCTCTTACATCTTCTCTCCTTGAACCTCTTTATTATTCTCGGAGCCTCTCTCCCCCAAAGCCCTCGCTCTCTCTCTCTCTGTCTATCTTGTCTCTCTCCCCCAACCCCCCATTTTCTCTCTCTAATCTACTTTTCTTTGATATAGAAAATCTCGTTCTATCCAAATTTTCATGGTAGATTTTCCGTTGATTTTTCAGGTGTAATGGAGCAACACACATGGTCTTCACAAGTCTCCATTAATGGAGGGACAATATATCCAGAGAGAAATGAGTTGCTCTAAAATTTAGAGGGGTTTAGGTATGGCCCAGTAGCTTAATGGCAAGGTCAGGAGTCCTCTTTAGGCTTGAGAACATGATTGTTTTTCATCAAATCTCTTTAGACCTTTTGTTCGTGTTCTCTCATTTCTGTATTTCTTCAACGATGGTTTGCCAAAGCCTTACCCTTCATTCACGAACCATTTAGAGAGAGAGGAAGAAGAGAGCACCAAATTGGTTACAAGACACCAGTAGTTTCTTGTCCATATCGTTTTTGATAATCTCCAAGGTATAAGGGCCACAATTTCGGAGTCAATGGCATTTATGGTCTTCACCTTCTTCGGCCCCTGCCATCTTCACCTCCAAACCCACAATCACCTCCCTCTTCATGCTAATATCTCCGCCCTCACCGCATTCATCACGGCTGCAGCTTGCTCCTGTTTCACCTCCTTTGACGTAATTCGCCAGTGATGGCGATGATGGGGAGAGCGAGATTAAAGTCAAAGATTATAGCTTTCTCCAGTTCCATGAGGGCAAGGCCAGCAGAGGCCGGTGCTGCTAAGGGGGCTACCCAGCTAGTTTTAGTGAATGGGTTTTTTAATGTCATAAACGAGGTTCGCCAGGAAAGATAGTTTCCATCAAGGTATCTTATGATTTATTTTAGTTCAGGTGAAAAATGCCCGGAAAATGAGTCCCGCTTTGATTGCAGGCCTCTGGCTCTAGGATTAGAGAGAGAGGGGGGGGGGTAAGGGAGAGAGGCGAGATATAAATAAAGGGAGGGACCAATGAGTGAGAGAGAGGTTCAAGGAAGAGAGGGCATGAGAGAAGCAGACGGGTTGGAGGGAGAGGGAGAGGGAGAGAGAGAAATGACATAGACGGAGGGTAAAATGAGGGAGAGAGAGGGTGGGTGCATTTGAGATGTTGAGACTTTATTTGAGATAGCAAAATGGCACTAAAAGCATCAAATGGTGTTCAGGGGTTGTAAGAAACGTTTTTGAAAACTTTAATGCCGCAATATAGTCTTCGAAGTTCAGGGGCCACTGGGAACTGTTCTAAAAAATAGCGCCCCTAAAAAAAAAAAAGATATTTGAATTTGAATTTCAGAAATAGGGCATCTTGCAACACATTATTTAGACGGTCTCTTTTCAAGATTTTCATATATTTATAAATCTACTTGATTTTAACCATTTTTGGAGTTTAAACTTTTATAAATAGGTATGAAAATAGATTTTAAGATAATCACTTTTATACCAAAATCATTTGTAATGATAAAATTTGAATGTGCACCTTAATTGGATTGTTTAAGGTTGCAAGCTTATAGAAACCACACCCTTTGTTAATTGGATATCTATAAAGTCATTAGGATTGGTGCTTACTAAAAAAAAAAGAAGTAAAGTTGGAGGACATTTTAGACATGGGGATACATATGATGATTCCAAAATCTATTTCTATCACCTATTATAAAATTTCTTAGCTTAAAAAATTACATGCATCTCACAAATACCTGTACATATGAAAATAAAAGATCTCGATAATGTGTTACAATGTAGAGCTTAAAACCCTTGTCCTTTTCTCATACATAATAGCTAAAGTCGAGATTATCAGTTTGAAAGTTTTCCAATACTACGACTGTAAGTTTTACGTGAGATTTGAAACGCAGTTTTACTTTTTTCATAAGGCCAAAGCTTTATTCCAACCTTTTCCTAATTAACTTATCATGTCTTGTTTGGATTTTGTAGGAAATTTTAGAGACATTTACACCTATATTATAGCTATTCAAAAAATATCCTCCAGTTTTCTGATTCACATGCCTTTTTTTTTTCAAGTTTCCATTGCATTGAATTTTCAAGATCCAAAATGTGACCAAATCATTTTATGATATAAGATCTTGAAGGTTTAAAATCAGACTCCCATATACCCATTTTTACTTATTATTTTCCCTAATTAATAACCAATTCGTACCTTCAAGATTTAAATTTATAAAATGGTTGTCATTTTGGCTCTTAAAAATCCGAACTGCTACAAAATATGAAGTGGTGGTAATTTGGGAATAAAAAAAACAAGGAAGAGAAGGGTATATGCCCTATTATAAAAATTGAAGGGAATTTTAAATAACAATAATTGTGGGTATATACGAATATATTTTTCAAAATTTTGATTTGTTCAAATAAATTTCTGAAAACTTTGATTTGTTCAATACTGTTACCTCCTTTTCGCTCTATTTCCACAATTGTCGTTTGATGATCTCCCTTCGCCGTACATTAGGCTTCAATTTGTTCCACAATTTGTAAATGCGAATTTTCCACATTTACAAAAACGAACAAGGGTAATTTCATAATTTCTCAACTTTTTCGTTCTAGTAACAAGACGAAGCCGGCGTGGTGACACCCACTCCCAAGACATTGCAATTCTATTTCCACCTTAAAAAATCAGAGAGAGAGTTTGTCATTTTGAGGGAGTTTAGAGAGAGAGAGAGAGAGAGAGAGAGAGAGAGACGTACATGTACTTAACGTTTTAAGGTTTAGGTTTTAGGTAGAGAGTATTACTATGTACTTAACTTTAACGTTAGGTTTTAGGGAGAGAGAGAGAGAGAGATTCTAATGTCACTGTTTAAAAGGTTTTTAGGGGGAGAGGAGAGAAAGGGGGAGGGGGAGAGGGAGTATGAGAATCCAGTGCCAATTTTTACAGAAACCATACTTCAGGCATCGAAGCTCTCGCTGATGTATCCCTTTGTATACTAAATTTTCCATTCATACATAGTACATGTGACGACATACACATACATGCACACAAAGAAGTTGCATTCACATAAAATAAAATGCAGCATGTGTACCGCAAAAACAGAATCTGACTCCAATGAAGGGCCTATATTTAAAGAGCCATATCAATCTCCCCAATCTGCACTATCCATCCAAAACATCATATATCTCTTTCATTTCTCTTTCCGAATACGCGATAAAGGGACCAAAACCCATAACTCAGAGCTTCACGCCTCTCGGCCGCATATCCAAACTATTTGTTTCCCAAATCTATGTACACACATGCATATGTATGTGTATCATGTTTTATACACATCCACACATGCACGTGTCTCTATACGTATGCATGTATATACGTATGTGTGCTTGTAATACATTTTGGCATGCACACTCCAAATCTTCATGTGTGCACCTGTGTATCAATTTCCAAGCAAGTGACATGCATATATGCATGCATGTGATGCATGTTCATGCTGTGTTCCTTACCCGCCTTAGAGCAAGGAGGTGGCGGAGAAAGGAGAACCTTCTCTTTGCGCGAGCTGATGGTTCCGTTGTTTCTCTATGGAGAGGCTGCAGCATGGGATCAGGGTTTAGGGTTTTGTTGGGGGAGGGAGGTGGGAGAGTGAAGAGGAAGGCGTTGAGCATGCGGATGATCTGAGAGAAACTTGGTCGCACATTCGGGTCCTCGACCCAACATGATTGAATGATGAACACTAGCTCTTGAGGCGTGTCATCAGGAAGAGCAGGCCTCACTTGCTGCAGAGTCATAGAAACAAGAGTTAAACCGACATAGAGAACATACCACATGCTATCACCCATATGCTGCAACCCACGAGTACAGTGTGCTCATTGGGTTATCATATCGCATCAATGGGTTAGACGGTGATGGTGGGGGAGGCAGAGCTAGCCATGCGTTAGGATAGAAAGCAGAGGTTTCGTTTAACACAATCACCCATCATCACCATCTGATCTCAGAGTGATGGTTCCCAATGGCCAAATTGATTGAAATGACCACATGGTCATAGTATTCTATGGACTAAAGAATCATAATTTCACACATATGGTGAGGGGGGGCAATAATTCCAACACACATGGTTAGGTTAATGAAAACCATCATATGTGTGCAGGTGCATTAGGTTGGCAGCCAAGGGCTGGTCCCATGCCAATCCCATCTCAAGCCCAAAAAAAGGAGGAGTATTGTGTTAGGTTGGCAACCAGTGTAAAACGTTACCCACATCTATTTCATGAATCCTGACCCAAGCGAAAGAGGATTTGTGTGCCCAACCCCATATACTTGGGATAAGCTCGGATGATAATGTGATACATATCATCATGCACATGTGTGTATATGTGTGTGGAGAGAGAGAGAGAGAGAGAGAGAGAGAGAGAGAGAGCAGATACCACACAATAGAAGTAAGGAAAACGAAACAATAACTACTAATAAAACGTTAAAACCTAATACTATTACTAGTTAGGGTACAACCTACCCTTACTACTAGAATAGAAAGTAGTATAGTATAGTGGTAGAA